CGCCATTTTTTTATAATTATTTTACGAAGGTTGTCCAAAAAGTTCGTGGACAATGACGGTTTTGTTAACATTTAAATGGTTCTATTTATACATGAAAAACCAAGTCAGAAAGATTTAAGTTTTATTGATGGAACTTTACATTTTTTTTTAAAAATCGGGGTCTTTAATGCTGCAGACGGTGAGCACGGACCAGTCTGCATTGAAGCGGTCCATTCAGTCAAATAAAATACTAATCACTCAGTACCATTGTTATTATGTTGTTTGATACAATAATTCAACTAGTACTCTCTGCTTTTAAGGTTATTTCATCTTTGATAAAAGCTAATTCTATTATATAATAACGTCAAATTAACATTTTGATTTTGAATTTTAATAAATGTTCATGGACACACACTTCATTTTCTTTATTATGCCACACTGCAAAGTGTTATCAATTACGAAAGCCTATTAGGATCAATCTAGAGAGAAAAAAATTTTTTAAAGGCGTTATAACGCCTTTCGAAAAGGCGTAATAATGCGAAACAAGAGGCCCATGGGCCACATCGCTCACCTGAGTAACTTGGGTGATGCAGATCTTTTTTAAAGATTTGTTCTATATATATTTCTATGTAAAACTTGGATTTCCTATTGTGGCCCCGCCCTACCCCTGGGGGTCATGATTTTAACAATTTAATATCTACACTACCCAAGGATGCTTCCACAAAAGTTTCAGCTTTCCTGGCCCAGTAGTTCTTGAGAAGATTTTAAAAGATTTGTTCTATATATTTCTATGTAAAATTTGGATTTCCTATTGTGGCCCCGCCCTACCCCCGGGGGTCATGATTTTAACAATTTAATATCTACACTACCCAAGGATGCTTCCATATAAGTTTCAGCTTTCCTGGCCCAGTGGTTCTTGAGAAGAAGATTTTTAAAGATCTGTTCTATATATTTCTATGTAAAATTTGGATTTCCTATTGTGGCCCCGCCCTACCCCAGGGGGTCAGGATTTTAACAATTTAATATATACACTACCCAAGGATGCTTCCACATAAGTTTCAGCTCTCCTTGCCCAGTGGTTCTTGAGAAGAAGATTTTTAAAGATTTGTTCTATATATTTCTATGTAAAACATGGATTCCCTATTGTGGCCCCGCCCTACCCCCGGGGGTCATGATTTTAACAATTTAATATCTACACTACCCAAGGATGCTTCCACATTAGTTTCAGCTTTCCTGGCCCAGTGGTTCTTGAGAAGAAGATTTTTAAAGATTTTTTCTATATATTTCCATGGAAAACTTGGATTCCCTATTGTGGCCCCGCCCTACCCCCGGGGGTCATGATTTTAACAATTTAATATTTACACTACCCCAGGATGCCTTCATATAAGTTTCAGTTTTCCTGGCCCAGTGGTTCTTGAGAAGAAGATTTTTTAATGACCCCACCCTATTTTTGTATTTTCTTGATTATCTCCCCTTGGAAGGGGTCTTGGCCCTTGATTTTAACAATTTAAATTCCCCTTCACCCAAGGATGCTTTGTACCAAGTTTGGTTAAAATTGGCCCAGTGGTTCTTGAGAAGAAGTTGAAAATGTGAAAAGTTTACAGACGGACGGACAGACAGACGGACGGACGGACGGACGACGGACAACGGGTGATCAGAAAAGCTCACTTGAGCTTTCAGCTCAGGTGAGCTAAAAAGGTGTTATAACGCCTTTTGAAAAGGCGTTATTACGCCATTCCATTCCAAAAGGCGTCATTACGCATTTTTAACAGGCGTTATAACGCCTTTCTAAAAGGCGTTATTACGCCTTTCCATTCTAAAAGGCGTCAAAAGGCGTTATTACGTCTTTCTAAAAGGCGTTATTACGCCTTTCCAAAAGGCGTTATTACGCCTTTATAAAAGGCGTAATTACGCCTTTTTAAAAGGCATTATTACGCCTTTCCAAAAGGCGTTATTACGCCTTTCACTTTCAATACATAACTAAACATATTTAGCCCAACCGAAGGGGGGGGGGGTGCAGAAATCGTACCTTTGGGACATGAATTTCACAAATAGATATAGGACTAATTTCTCAAAAAATAATTTGAACAGATAGCAATTAGATTTCCAGGAAAAAAGATTTTTAAATGCGTCATATTTTTTCAATGTTGAACCAACTAAGTCCTTCTTTCATACCAGACACATCTCTACCAAGGGTCATTGATTTCAATTGCTCATTATACCCATGCAAGTAGTTGCCTGCTTTTTTCCAAGAAGAGAGAAAAATATCTTCAAATGACATAAATTTTAATACACTGTACATGGCAGCAAAGCTCCAAGATAAGTCTGCCTATATTCTAGATCTTCACAAGTAGAGTGTTGCCTTCTCTTAATACGAATGCAAACAGTTGTCAGTGAGATGTGCAGGAATATAGAGAATTGCATAAATAAAGATGGTTTTAATTAAATCTTTATATATTTATTAACATAAGATAACGCCTTTTCCCTTTCCTTTTCATGTAGACCAGTACGTAATACGAGTGCGAACGGGGTAACCCCCCTCCAAACATACACACTTTTGAGGAAAAGTCTTGCTACAGTTTAAATATTATAATTAACTATTGGTTTCTTGGTTCCTGAACATTTTGTTGCAGTATGTAAAACTGTGGCAAATTATTGCATTTAAATAAAGTTTTACCGAGTATTTCCCCCACGAATTTGGTCAGTGTATGGGGCAACATGAAAAACATAATGGGCATATTCATATAGATTTTATTTCTAGGATACTGACCCATAAAGTTGGTAAGGTTACAAACACATCTTGTTGTTTACATGGAAAAGTTACATGTATGAGCTAGGACCTTCGGGCTAGCCTACAACAAGATGTGTTTGTGAAACACTATGCGCCCGGCGGCAACAAAGTTTGAAAAATATAATTTTAGCATATAGGTCACAGTCAAGGTCACAAGGTTATTTGAAAGAACTTGATTAGTTTACTACGCATACCAAATATGAAATCTCTATCTATCATGGTTCATAAGTTATTGTGAAGGTTCAAAAGAGCTATTTTTAGCATATAGGACACAGTCAAGGTCACAAGGTCATTGACCTTGGTGTCTTGTGAAAGGGCTTAGTTAGTGGAGTATGCATGCTAAATATTAAGTCTCTGTCTTTCTTCCTTCAGAAAAAATGGCGAAGGTTAAAGTTTGTCGACAAAAAAATCTATATTTAACGTATAGGTCACAGTGAAGGTCACAAGGTCATTGACCATGGTGTCATTCAAAAGAACGTAATCAGTCAAGGTCACAAGGTCATTGACCATGGTGTCATTCAAGAGAACGTAGTCAGTGGTGTATGCTTACCAAATATGAAGTCTTTATCTTTTATGGTTCAAAAGTCATGGCGAAGGTTAAAGTTTGCATAAAAACTATTTTTAGCATAGAGGTCACAGTCAAGGTCACAAGATCATTGACCCTGGTGTCATTTGAAAGAGCTTTTATTAGTGGAGTATGCATCCCAAACACGAAGCCTTTTCGCGTTATTACGCCTTTTCAAAAGGCGTTATAACCACAGGCACCTGACGTTACTTATTTTTCTTTTAATAAAAAAAAATATACACATACCTTATAATAAACATTAGGTATGTGTATATTTTTTTTTTATTAAAAGAAAAATAAGTAACGTCAGGTGCCTGTGGTTTCAGCTGTGCAAAAATACTGTTACGACAGTTGACTTGTACATGTAAGCTTGCAATCTACATTTGGGTATATTATAATTCTGCGATTTCTCGTACTGTAACTTGATGAATTACATCGTAAGTTTGGGATTATATCAGTTAGATATTCAGGAACTTGGTATTTATCAATTTTATACATTGTAGTTAGTCTAGTCTTTTTCCTTCTTTCATGTAATGGTTCCCATCCAGTTTCAAAGTAAAGTGCATCTTTAGAAGCTAACAGAGTTAAGCCTGTGACAATTCTAGCAGCACATAGTTGTAATTTTTCTAATTTTTCGCTGTCACCTACATTACATCCACCCCACACCAAGGAAGCGTATTCTAATTGTGGCCTAATAAAGGTTGTGTACATGAGTGAAAGAGTTCCAGAAATTTCTTGAAATTTCACTCCCAGAAATTTCTTGACAAGCAAAAAAAAAAAAAAAAAAAAAAAAAAAAAAAGCTATACTAGCCCAAATGTCAAAAACCTATTTCGTGTTGGGGTTGGGGGGGGGGGTAGTCTATGGTCTATGACTTCTATTGCATCAAATCTTTCACTTTTTCATACCCATTTCACACATGTTCGCGTTTACCAGGGGGGGGGGGGGGTCAGCGTTTTCCAAGGGGGGCCCATGGTAACTTTTTTCTTGCTTTAGTACATGTATATATACATTTTTTAACCTTGTAAATTCCCCCACCCCCCTCTAGATCCGCGCATGTATTATATCAAAAGAATTTGATGAATAAGCATTTGGAATTAAAACAAATACAAAATGGGGGTTGATATCTTTTACCTGAACCCTCGTAATTTATTCCTGCTATCATATAGTTATTATGAGTATCCATAGTAAAAATGTTGATGTACACTCTTAATGGACTTTGAAAAAAAATTAAAATGCGTTGATGTTGTTTCAAATTTGACGAACATTCAGTGATATATTTTTTCAAAGTGCTATAATTTTGTCACAGTCCCGTTTTTAACCCACTTTCAATATTTTTTTTTTTTCAAAATGCATTTTTTTTTTCAAAATTGCGTTGAGGCACACGTTTAGAAAAAAAAATTAATATATAATGTCGTCTTTTTTGCTAAGCATTAAAAATGTAATTTAAAAATTATAAGTCATTTGTATATATCTTTGTCAAAAATGGAAACAAACAATAAAAAAGCCTTAATTTACATGTGTTCAAAAGCTGTACTGGGTCATGTATATAATTTATAAACATCGGGATCGTAATGTGAAATAATAATTTTAGAACGACAACTCAGTCAAGTAGAACCGACGGCGACATTGAACTTTGAAGATATGGAATTGAGTATTAACAAGCATCAAAGTCACTGTTGAAAGTATGTATAAGCCTACAAATCATTGTTTAAAGCAATAATTTAGGGGTACGGGTATGGAGTAAACAAAGTAAATAATAATTTCATTTGTTTACGATAACTTTGAAACAAGGAAGTTATTTGATTTTTGTAAACTGGACAACGCAACAGTTAAGGAACCCTCTCTACACTGTACACACAGGCGCTTGTTTCATACAGTGAGCTTATTTTTCTACTATATAATAACACAAGGTATCCATCTTTCTCGAGACCAAAAATGTAGGTCACCAATTCAAACCCCTTTTTTATTTATTATCCGCAGCTGGCAACAAAAACCCCACATGTAATGGTTAGCGGAATCCCCCTTGTTGGACCTCATGTATATTTCCTTACCTCACCCCCTCGCGAACTTTGACATTGACCATAAAATTACACGCTTCGTCAATCGAAAGAAAAAGTACATCTCTAAACAGCTCAGCACTTCCGGTTTGGCTATCGCGATATAAAACACAAGATCTCATTGGCTGCTGGTACATTTTGCTCTGGTGTAAAGAGGATCCTTAACAAAACATTTTTCTTTAATAATAACTATCAAATCATCTTAAAAATCACCAACACGTTGTCATCTTACAAAATATTTGACAGAAAACCTAGAACAATATCGATTTTCAAATTTGCGCCAAAATAATATTTCGGTTTTCTCTTGTGTCTTATACAATTGCATTGAAAACTCCCGAGAGTACCAGTAGCCAATGAGATCTTGTGTTTTATATCGCGATTGCCAAACCGGAAGTGCTGAGCTGTTTAGAGATGTACTTTTTCTTTCGATTGACGAAGCGTGTAATTTTATGGTCAATGTCAAAGTTCGCGAGGGGGTGAGGTAAGGAAATATACATGAGGTCCAACAAGGGGGATTCCGCTAACCATTACATGTGGGGTTTTTGTTGCCAGCTGCGGATAATAAATAAAAAAGGGGTTTGAATTGGTGACCTACATTTTTGGTCTCGAGAAAGATGGATACCTTGTGTTATTATATAGTAGAAAAATAAGCTCACTGTATGAAACAAGCGCCTGTGACTGTACACTAAAGAGTTCTCATTCTATTGAACAACGCCACAGTTAAGGAACCCTCTCTATACTGTACACTAAAGAGTTCTGATACAGTGGTATAGTAAACTGGACAACGCCACAGTTAACCCTCTCTACACCGCACACTAAAGAGTTCTGATACAGTGGTATTGTAAACTGGACAACGTCACAGTTTAAGGAACCCTCTCTACACCGCACACTAAAGAGTTCTGATACAGTGGTATTGTAAACTGGACAACGTCACAGTTTAAGGAACCCTCTCTACACAGCGTACTAAAGAGTTCTGATACAGTGGTATTGTAAACTGGACAACGCCACAGTTAAGGAACCCTCTCTACACTGCACACTAAACAGAGCTAAAGAGTTCTGAAAACAGTGGTATTGTAAACTGAGCAACGGTAGCAATGCCCAATATTTTTTAAGGAGTCCAAAAAATGTCAGGGTTTTTTATATTCATAGACGACTTTCACATTTAAAAAGTTATTCCCCTTTGCGGGGTCAATCCGGGATCAACCAGCGTAAGACGCTGTATTCCCTCTATATATCATATACCTAGTAGTGTATCAGCCCTGATACAGGCATTTTGGACTTGGCGAGACAGCGCCTCGGAAGTAGGGCTGTCTCGCCCTCAGGGCTGAGATATCTCTGTCTCGGCCCCTCGTCAAGGGGCTGTCTCGCCCTCAAATTTTAAATCATTATTTCTGTTTAATTTGTGTGAATTAAGAGTAAAATTCATATTTAAGTATTAAAGAGAAACATTATATATCAAAAAATTTAACCAGAATCTTTAAATAATATTTTTTCATATTAGAATCTTGAGAAAACTGTTTTTAAAAAGTGCGCCAAATGATAGCATTTGTGACGTAAGAGAGGTAACTCTTGTTTATTTCTAGGACAGCAACAAGTCATGTTTTGAAACAATGAACGTTTATTTGCTTTGACAGTAAGACAATACCAAATTTTTAATTTAATGTGCCATTTTTAATTAAATATATATTGTAAACAAAACAAATATTTACTATAAATCTCAGGTTTACAAATTGTAACTATTGGTTGACGAAGTTGTAACCCCGGTTCGATCCAAAGTGAATTAAGTAGAATATTTTTAAGTTTGGGACCTTTTAAATCTTTGTTATCTAATGTGCTTCGAAATGAAATGTTTGAAAACACCAGGACTATTCTTTTTAATGACCAGACCAGGCAAATCTATCTCTATTTGATTATTCACCGTCAAGCAACATCTCCAGGAACATCGAAATAAAGAAAGATAACTCTAATATTTTGTTATGACAAAATTATAAACGTGATGATAAAAAAATATCAAAATATTTGTTCTTTTCTTTGGTTTTAGATATATGATATAAACAACATCACACCACTGTTTATGCCTCCGGGCTTGGGCCGATACCAACCGCTC